TAGGATAAATTTGCTTATGTATTAGCCTCTCAAGAACCTTTGATATAGTTGATAACAAAGATATGGGGCGGTAGTTAGAAACGTCGTTTTTGCACCCACTCTTGTAGACTGGTGTTACATTGGCGTTCTTCCATATCTGGGGCATAGTCCCTTCACTAATACATTGGTTAAAGATAAGACACAAGGGAATACTAATAGCTGCAGCAGTGTGTTTGAGGAAAAATGGTGGAAGGCCGTCAGGTCCAGGTCCTTTGTTAATATCGAGTAACATGAACTCTTTGACTAAACTATCTAGACTAAACTATTAATAATCTCAGAATTGGGATTAGTAGGCTGATTACTTTTTTTTTTTTTTTTTTTTTTTTTTATGTGATAAGGGTGACAAACGAGCACACAGTCCACCTGATGGTAAGTGGTTGCTGTGGCCCATAGATATCTACATCTATCTTCGATTAAGAATCAAAATGCAGATGCGTTGTCACCCATGAGGACTAAGATGGAATGCCTCGTTTCCAGTAAAAAGGGTCTCCGGTTCTCTACACTCACCATACGAAACACAGCAGCGTTAAGCTACTATTTTACGCTGGTATTCTGTGAGAGCGTGGTCCTTCCCCGGTCGAGCCGACCCATTCGTGCTACAACCATTATATAGCTGCAGCATGGCTCTACCACGTACTAAAATTCTCCTGCTGTAACTGCTGTCTATTTTCATATACTGAGCTGAAAAATTCAGAAAATAATTCACATATACCCTCAGGGTTATCCGATTTATTATGTTTATAAATCATAACGTTAGGAATTCCATTTTTACCTCTGCGATTGTTAACATAGGACCAAAATGATTTGTTGTCCTTTTAAAGTCCCTCTTCGATGGAATTAATGTAAGTATTGAGGCAATCAGCACACAGTGTCTTAAATCTGTGTCGAAGTAATGAAAACTGGGAATAATCCGCTTTATTATTATATTTTTTCCATCGTATCCAATATTTTTCTTTATCTTTAAAAATATGGATTAGGGGTCGAGAAAACCAAACTGGAGAGTTACTGCTTTTTGACGAACGAAGCGGTACATGCATTCTTATAATTTCATAAATTTTTTCATAAAATATATTAACTGAAATTTCAGCAGTTAGCCCTTTTAAAAGAGAGTACCAGTTGATGTCAGAGATAGATTTACAAATGGTGGAATAGTTTGCTTCTAAATATTTGAACCTCGGAATAGACGAGTGAGTCATAGATTTATATGTGTGGCCTAGAAATATAACCGTATAAAATGCTGGATGTAGACGATCCAATGGCAGTAGCGGATTTGGAGGCAGCTCACAAACACAATTATCGTCGTTACATAAAAACAAGTCTAAAATACGGCCCAAAGGGTTTCTTATGGTGTTTAACTGTTTCAAGTTTAATGATGATATAAAGTTAAGCAGTGATTTGTCATTGTTGGTAAGTAATACCTTTAATAAAGTAATACCTGCGATCTGCAACCGCGATGGGAGCGTGAGTGGCACCGTACTCCGTATCAGACAATGGCCGAAGAGCCAAGACGGGCATCGACGGAGACGTGAATTCATCTGGATAAAAGGTCAGCAGAAGGTTCAGTAGGGAAGGTACATGATCCTCCACATCTGGGATCCGCGGATGTGAAATAACTAGTTGTGTCAGACCATATGCCAAGGCAAAGTCATAAACAGATCTACAGATCCCGCAGGATCGGTTAAACGGGAACCAAGCCATACATTTACATACGTGGTGGGCATTAAAATCACCGAGCATCTCGATCTCTGCGGATGGGACCTGTTATAGCACGGAGTCTGCAGCCATTTGGACGTAGTCGATGAGTCGGTCTGTGTCGGCATTACCGCTATGAGACCTATAGAGGCATCCGTAGAACCGGGGATGGTTGTCGTCGCACCTGTGTCTCGATTAGAAAGAGCAAAGCGTGAGCACTTACGCTCAGGTAAGTGGGTGCTCAGGTTTTGCACTTTCTAACGCATGGGTGCTCAGGTAGCTTGTGCGTGTATGGTCTTCGTCGTCACCAGGGGTCCCTCCTGGGGTAGTGTTCTTTTTACTAACTTTGCTGCTATGTCTAAGGGGGGGGGGGGGCGGAATGCGCCTCCGGCCACCTGCACTCACTAAGTAATACGCAGAAGTAAACTTATAGTATTCAGGTAGTCGTGGTACTACCACCCCGGTTCGAGCTGACCCATTGGTGCGACAGCAAAAGCCGATGCGTGGCTCTACCACTGTTATATTTTAGTTACATATCTGCATTTTGATTCTTAATTGGGGATAATTGTAGATATCCAACCATTGCGTGTTGCCAGTGATAACATATGGGTCTGGGACGTGGTTCATTATTGCTGGCCTTATGAAGAAGCTCAAAGTCGCAAGTAACGATTTGTGAGCAGAAATGTTAATTAGGTGGACTGTGTGCTCGTTTGTCACCCTATCCTATAAAAAAATCACCTGTGCGAAGCCGGGATGGATCGCTAGTAGTTTATAAAACTCAAATAAGGCCAAAAGTAATGAAGCTTATAATCAAATTAATAACTGAATCGCTCTTATTTTACAAAACATTGAGGACTTATAATCTCACCAGACGGCGCTAGTTGGGATTGAGGAATAGAAAATAATAGAATAGAATATTTTTTATTCAATATATCTACATTACATGTGTAATTCTTATTGAAAGTCATTTTTTACTTTACCACTGGTTCGAAAAAAACCCTCTGTCCTGGGAAGAACCAGCAAGAAACCCAGCGGGACTTTTTTTTTAAAATAAATTTTACAATATAATTGATTACGAACTATTTACAAAATTTATTTTAGAAACTGCTTGGAAGCGATCACCTCATTCCCAGGGGTTATTATCAACCATGTATTCATTTATACTATAATAACCCTTTTTATACAGTTTCAGTTTAATAAAACATTTAAACTTGGTAATAGAGAGAACCTGTACACTTTCCGGGACCTTGTTGTAATAGTGTATACATTGCCCCAAGAACGAATTACCGACTCTGTGGAGTCGAGAAACGGGTATCACTAGCTTGTGTTTGTTCCTAGTGTTTACAGAATGTATATCACTTTTTTTACTAAAACTATCTTTGTTTTTGTGAACATACATTAAATTTTCGTAAATATACTGAGAGGTCAAAGTTAATATATTTATTTCTTTAAATTTATCTCTAAGAGACTCTCTCGGTTTTAGATTGTAAATAGCTCTAATGGCCCTCTTCTGTAAAATAAAAATAGTTTCTGAATCAGCCGCATTTCCCCATAGCAAAATCCCATAAGACATTATGCTACGGAAATAACTGAAATAAACTAATCTAGCTGTCTCGACACTAGTGAGACCTCTAATCTTTTTTACAGCATAGACTGCAGAACTTAGTCTGCTTGCTAATTTGGATATATGGGGGCCCCACTGGAGCTTTGCGTCAAGAGTGATGCCAAGAAAAACAGTGGATACAACAGGGCTCAATTCCTCCCCATTTAAAAACACATTGGTATTCAGATTTTTAACATTGGTTGTTGTAAATTTAACACAATTAGTTTTATTTCCGTTCAAATGCAGATTATTAACGTTAAACCAATGCACTAATTTTGATATAGCATTATTCACTTCGTCACATTTAAATGATTGACGTTTAAGTTTAAAAATCAAGGAAGTATCATCAGCAAATAATTCTATATCATGACTATGCCCTACAAGGTGAGGTAAGTCATTAATATACACCAAAAACAGGAATGGGCCAAGAATCGAGCCCTGAGGAACACCCATTAGTACAGGTGACCCGGAAGAACTTTTACCATTGATAATAACCTTCTGTTTTCTATTTCTTAAATATGAAATAATAAGTTTAAGCGCTGTGTTCTTGACACCATAGTACTGTAGCTTCCTGATTAATGTCTCATGGTGAACACAGTCGAAGGCCTTGGAAAGATCACAAAATATACCCAAAGCATCTTCTGAATTCTCCCATGCACAAAAAATATGTTTAATAAGCTCAACTCCAGCGTCAGTTGTCAAGCGACCCCTTGTAAAACCAAATTGATTTTTATGTAGCAATTTATTAATATTAAAGAAACTTAACATCTGATCTAAAATAATTTTTTCAAAAAATTGACTTAATGTTGGTAGTACAGAAATTGGTCTAAAATTGGCGGGGTCTAATGTACTACCAGATTTAAATATAGGTATGACTTTACTATGTTTCATTAAATCAGGAAACACACCAGATTCGACGCTTATATTAAATATAGTGGCTAGATAAGGTGCTAATATATCTATTATAGATAAAATAAATTTAACAGAAATCCCCCATAAGTCTGCCGTTTTCTTAACATCAATAGTTTTAAAATATTTAACGATATCTTTTGGCAGTACTCTATGGAATTTAAAAGTATTTGAACAAGCCTTTACATTTTGTTTGAGCAATGATTCGGCGACAGTAGGAGAAGAATTTAATGATTTTCTTGTCAAAAAAGGAACATCAGTAAAATGTTTCTCAAAAGCCATAGCAACTTCTCATCAGATCAGATCGCGTTAGATTATTGTTAATATTCAATTGAAAATCCGAAATTGAAGGTGAATTTTTTTTATTACACAATGTCATTCAATTGAGAAATTTTAATAAAAAGTTGATCAGTTTCTAGAGTATTATATTAATGCACAAAACAATGCCTCAGTGGTTTGTTATTTAATTATTTTATTTTAATTTTTTTTTAGTCTTTCTACTTTTAAGAATATTTTTGTAGTTTGGTTTATCCATTTTTATGTAATTAATATAAAATATTACCAATATTTTATAAAGAAACATTAATCTCTACGCTCTTCTAACAAATCAACTTCCCCCGCTATGAGATCTGTCAAATATTTCACCTCATGCCATTTTCATTGGATCATATCAAATATATTATTTAAGAAAAAAACAACATATCAAAATCCCAAATATTTATTGTCAGCCAATGTTATTAGAAAATATACAGGAAAGTTATAGAAAGGAAAATGAGTTACATGTGTACTGCTCACTTAGAACAGTTTTAAAAATATCTTTAAATATTTTGAACGTGTCTGAATATTCGACAGAAACTTTATTGACAAAGAAGTCGATTGCTACGCTGTCTGAGCAATTCGCAGTTGCGAAAAATGTCAAATCTTGCAAACAATTTTGCACGCCACAACTTGATAACCATTCTGATAGTCTGGTGTACAGATCTATGTTCTTGGAATATTCTGGACAGCGCTCTATCCTCTTTTTCGTCAGTTTAGACAAAGCTTTTATACATTCAGGCTCCCGTACAGTATCAGGGCAGACGGTTTGCACGTCGGTTGTGGGCTGCAAATGAAATTATTATGAAATAAAATCGTTTATATGAGACGTCTCGTCCTGCGAGAAAACCGAGATAGTACACTTCAGCAAAAATTTCCTACAATAAAATAACGCTCACCAAGTAGCATCGCATGCACTGCGGCTTGGTATTCTGCATGGTAGAGCCACGCTGCAGCTGTATTATGGCTATAGGGTCATGGGTCGGCTCGACCAGGGTAGGACAACGCTCTTACAGAATACCATCGTAAAATAACAGCTTAATGCTGCTGTGTTTCGTATTCCTGTATACTGGATACGAGGCATTCCACCTTAAGCCTCAGGGGTGACAACGCTTCTGTAAATTGTTTCTTAAGCAAGGATAGATTTAGATGTCTATAGGTCACAACATCCACTTACCCTCAGGTGGACTGTGTGCTCGTTTGTCATCCCTAATAATCACTCTCACAGCCCGATGAGATGGTAATCCGATACCACCGGAAAGAAATTAGGCGCAAGACTTCACGTGCTTTCCGAGGCAAAACACCGTCAACTTCCTGACTCCGCGTTGCTACTGAGAATCTTTTGTGTTAAGCCGCGTACCGATTACGCGGTCCAAGAGGACGAACGTTGGCGCGCGTTCTAGCCGCGTGTAATGGAATACCGCCTTGGAACGCGCGCCAAATTGTTCGTTAGAACGCTCAACCGTGAAGCGGGCCGTTCTATCTGTTGTTGGTTTTTTACCGCGTGTCTAAGTAGTAAAGTTTTGGCGCGAACGTCAGTTGGGATGGTTGTTTTCATCATTCGTGTGTTTGTTGCGTTTCGAGCTATGTAGAACCAAAGTTGCCGTAAATTAATAAAATTATCTATATGGTTCAAAAGAACTGCGGGGGAATAACAAAAGTTGCTTTTATCATAATAAAGCGCTCAGAGAAGATGAATGGAGCTATAAAAGCGGCAGTAGTTCGTACACTACCGATATCCTTGTTGAACAGTCAAACACTGGAACGGCTACGAAAAACTGCGAACATTTGGAACGCGTTCCGCGGAACGCACTGGTCGGCGCGTTCGTTCATGGCACCCGAGCCAGTAACACGTAATCGATACGCGGCTTTAGCGAACTTTCTATGCCCTGAGGACTAAGATGGAATGCTTCGTTTCCAGTAAAAAGGGTCTCCGGTTCTCTACACTCACCATCACTACATACCAGCATTAAACTGCTATTTTATGCTGGTATTAATTACCTATCAAAATAGTACTGTGAAGTGAACCAGTAGCCACGTATCGCAGTAGTCGACTTAAAAGAATTATCCATCAACCAAATTTGTCCATCCCGTGGGTTCCACAAACTCAGCGAAATGCCAGAAACATGTTACGGATGGACCTGACAGTTGGAGACCATTGACGTGGTGCGAGATTGGTACCTACCTCTCTGTGTGACAGGCGTGAGTGTTTATGTTATATACGCCTTTATTTATTAAACCTAGTGAATGCAAACCTGTTCAACAATGTTGAGGTAAGTCGAAATCAATGATCGATACTTTCCGCCAATAACATCGGCCGGCTGGTCCAAATACTTCCATATCTTCTGTGCGGCATCTTCTACGCTTTCCTGTACGTCGTGTTTGTCACTGATCAAAAATAGCAGGAGTGCTCGAGAGAAAATGGTAGCGAAACGCTTCTGAGTATCACCGACATCATCAGGTCCAAGAGCTCTATGAAAGAAATCAGGCTTATGAGATTTCTTAGTGTGAATGAAATGAATGTGAACGAATGATGATGGTGAATGACTTACCGTTGCCATTAACGTTACAGCTTACTAAAAGTTCACTGCTCATAGAGGACTTCATAGGGGAGATATTTGCCATAGTTGCCACGCAAGCGAGCTGCCAAGTTTTTTTTTGCAGTTTATAGTTTTTTATTTTTTAGTTGAACACACTGCTGCCCGTCTGTTGGTCTGTTTTCCTCTGTCGCCTCTTACGATATCCAAGAGATGATATGGAAATTAAAATTTCTTTTATCATCAGTCAACATGTTTTGTTACTATAGTGATGTTACTCCGACCGGACAGAATAAGGCGAAAGAAACTCTGCGCTGCAATACTGAATACTACATACTTAATACATACAATAGTATTAATTATTCAATTGTACTTGTTTACGAAACTGGCTTTGCGAACTTGGCTACTAAACGATCGCTGTAAATTTCAAAGTAGGTACGCGAGCAGCCCGGGTTCGATACCCGCTGGCACCAATTAAATTGTTAATTGCAGTTTTTTTAATGTTGATTTACCACGGGCTCGGTGGTAAAACCTACATCGTGGGGGAAACCTGCACGTCTGAGAAAAAAATATATAAAAAAATATCATCCGAAGACATGTTGTCATAGTTAAGTGAAAAAAAAAAATATTTAGAAAATACAAAAGGATAACAGTAGGCAAAACAGTAGTACCTTACCAATCGGAACAAGATCCAAGTGAACAGTTAACCGCATTTCATCAGCACTTAGAACTACCGCGCGAGATCATATAGTAGGTGTATAGTTTGTTCGCTAAGAAAGTGTCGGTACATCCGGAGGCACACTTATTATTTTGCTTTCATTTTATAATTTTTTACTGTATTTGTTAAATAAATGTTTTTTATTCTAAGAATAAAATAAAATACTATTTTATTGATATGGTTATTGTAATAAAATAGGAATATAAATAATAAAAACAAGTTAGGTAGCAAAGAACATTTCACTACAGCGCTTCGTTTTAAAATGTCAAATTCTCCTTCGGGTGTACGCTGCACGCGGCGATCTTTGATGTGTGTCTTTGATGTCGGCGCCTTTGACAATAGACGGTACGTGCTAAGGCGGCGCGACACAAAGGTGACCGTATCTAAGCGAACAGACTATTCTCAGATATAACGTTACCTACATACCTACGGCTGCAGTGCACAGTAAGTATATCCTTCGTTCAGATGTCATTACAGGTGGGGAATAGGATTTAAAAAGGACAGGCTAGGTTAGGGAAGAAGTACGCGAGCGTACGTGTGCAAAATACTGCAAAGGGCTAGATGTTTACGACACACTTTTTAAATTCACCAACACGCAGAAATGAGGAGGAGGGGAAGGCTTCACTTCAGCTTTTACTTTATTGTTTTAATAATTAATCAACAAATACATACTGGCTCTGATAATAGTCGTGAGCGATTTGCTCCAATACGTCGGCCGCCCGCCATTTTGTATTCAGATCGCTAGACACAGCTTGACACCCGCCATGACAATACTTTACAATACAAGCAGTTATTAATAAACCAAAGAACCTGTAAAAGATTATTAATAAAATAATTAATATAACACGTAGTGAAAAAATAATAGAAGATATAGATATACATTTTTACACTTGGTAGAGCTACGCTGCAGCTATATTATGGTTGTAGCAAGAAGGAGTCAGCGCGACCAGGGAAGGACTACGCTTTCATAGACCAGCATAAAACATATTGTTACGAGCTTGGGGTTCGAGACAATTAAAAACTGCCGATTGAATTACCAAAATTGACACTTTAATTACACAACACTAATTACAACTTAAAACCACACTAATAATAAAACACAATTGTACTACAGATCACTTAAGTTCGCAGTTGTTTCGCTTTGAAGTATTCTCTTGTATCGCCAATTCAATACTGCCTCGGTCGTGGTCTATACTGGCCTTATATAGGGCCTCAGATAGTTTCCAGAACCTTCTACTGTAGCGACATCTAGAATGTTCGAGTAAATATCGGTCCCGAAATTTCTGGAAGGATCTTGACTCTCCTAATTCTGCTACTCGACACTAGGAGGCGCTAGTGTAACTAGTGTTGCCATGCACAAGACATTAATAGTGGCGCGCGACACTGCCCCCTCCTAAGACATGCTCGTCCCGAGCATTATTGGCTATTAATTCTCTCCCAAAGTTTGCGAAAGCTGGCGTCACTGATGTACTTTCGTGAACAGCGCTTTGATATGACAACAAAAACGGTTGTATGTAGGCAGTCTCGTTTTTCCACAACTTTTGCCAGGTACCTTTCCAATGTCTAATTAAATCGTTCTACCATTCCATCAGATTGTGGGTGGTAAGAAGTTGTTCGTGTTTTATGAGTACCCATAACTCTGCAAGTTTCCTGGAATATTTGAGACTCAAAATTCATTCCATAATCACTGTGAATCTCTAAGGGTACTCCAAACCGACAGAAGACTTCATAAACTAGTTTATCTGCAACTGTTGAAGCCTCTTGATTTGGAATGGCGAAGACTTCTGGCCACTTAGTGAAGTAATCCATCACAACCATGAAATACTTGTTACCACTTTCACTTTCCGGAAACGGCCCCGCAACGTCAATGGCTATCCTCTCCCATTGTGCACCAACATTGTACAATTTCAATGCGCCTCTACTACGAATTTGAGGTCCCTTTACAGCCGCACAACTTGTACATTTGCGGCACCAGTCCTCGACATCGTCACGACAGTGGACCCAGTAAAACCGTTCTCGGATCTCCAGTAGAGTTCGTTTAACTCACAGGTGGCCTCCTGAAGAACCACTATGGTACAGCTGTAGAACATCCGGTACTTTAGCCTTAGGAAAAATCATTTGCAAATGACATCTGTCTCCCCGACCATTTTTCCATTTACGGCACAGGACTCCATCCTGAATCAGCAAGCTGTCCCATTAGGCCCAATAGCTTTTCGTGATCAAACTCATCGCTGAGATGTCGCTCCACTTGGGCTTAGGAGCACTGGCCTTCATGCATTCCAGAATCGGCTTAATGTCCGAATCTTCCTGCTGTGCATGTTGTAAGCTGTCCTTCCACTCTGACAATGCATCTGCGTTGTCATGAGATTTTCCGCTGCGCTGGGTGGTGCTGTTAGCCGCACTACGCTCTCGAGATCGATCACCTTCCCTTTCTAAAGTTCGCTTAGGGCAGCTGAATCGAAGATGGCCAATCTCCCCACAGCCGTAGCACCTAGGCCTGTATCCTTTACTGTGGTCACGAACAGTAGCTGCTGCAACATCCCTGATGCGATAGGAACGATAATCCTGTCGCACGGCTTCCACCTCCAGTGCATGGGCCAACGCGTCCTTAAGCGTCTCGTGGTACCCGAGCCTCACAATAGCTCTGACTTCAAGGTCGTGGATGCCATCGATGAATGTCTGCACCAGGTTCCCTAAAATGATCGCAGGTACAGACTGGTATGCTTTCCGAACCAGCTTCTCCACCTCAAGGGCCCACTGCTGCAGGTTTTCGTTGCTGCGTTGCATGCGATCTTTGAGCTGCGCACGAAGGACGTGTTCCAGGTGAGCATCGCCATATCTCGCCTCCAATGCCTCAAGGAGCTGCTCGTAAGTCACTTCCTTACCGAGAGCTTCCAGAACAGTTAAGGCCTGGTCGCGCAGGCCTAGGGTGAGAGCAGTCATGGCCTGACTTTTATTCCAGCCGTTCGCAAGTTTGAGGTCGTCCAGCGTTTTCTTCACGTCAGCCATCACGTTGTCAACCCGATTGTTCACTTGGTCGATTCAGGATTCAGCTTCCGACAGGCGGTTGTCATGTTATATATATTTACATTATTATACATTACATATTTTGTAAAATGTACTTAAAATATAATACACTTTAACTGTTAAGATGTAACTATGTCAATGTACGCTGAATTATACTTAATCATTTATAAAAATGCATGCGATGAAACTCAACTTTATACTACCATGATCATCATCATTACAGCCTTTAACAAGTCCACTGCTGAACATAGGCCTCCCCCGAGGAATGCCACCACGCACGGTCCCGAATCATCATCATCATCATTATTACAGCCCTTCACAAGTCTACTGCTGAACATAGGCCTTCCCCAAGGAATGCCACAAAGCACGATCCTGAGCCCCCTGCATCCATCGACTTCCTGCATATCTTACGAGGTCGTCATTCCATCTAGTGGGGGGATGCCCTACACTTCGCCTGCCGGTACGAGGCTGCCAATTGCCTCTGGCTGTCAATGGCCGGCCAATTGCCACTTCAGCTTACTAATTCGTTGGGTTATATTGGTCACACTGGTTCTACTGCGGATATCCTCATTTCTAAGTTTATCACGCAGAGAAACCCCGAGCAGAGCCCTCTCCATAGCTCGCTGAGCGACCTTGAGCTTCCTCATCCGGCCAGCAGGGAAGGCCGACATCTCAGATTCCTTTTCTCAGATTTTTATACATGGTAGAGCCATGCTGCAGCTATATTAGTAGTATAGTTGTAGCACGAATATATAGGCTCGACCGGGGAAGGACCACGATCTCACAGAATACCAACGTAAAATAGTAACTTAACACTGCTGTGTTTCATGTGGTGAGTATAGAGAACCGGAGACCCTTTTTACTGGTAAAGAGGCATTCCATCTTAGTCCTAACGGGTGACAACGCATCTGCATTTTGATTCGCAAACGAGGATAAATGTAGATGTCTATGGGCCACAGCAACCACTTATCATCAGGTGGACTGTGTGCTCGTTTGTCACCCTATCTTATAAAAAAAATCAGATATTCACTGGCAACACGCACTGGTTGTACAATCTTGTTTTGAGGTTTATTTTATTCTACTATATCATGATCATCATCATTACAGCCCTTAACAAGTCCACTGCTGAACATAGGCCTCCCCCAAAGAATGCCACAAAACACGGTCCTGAGCCACCTGCATCCATCGACTTCCTGTATGTCTTACCAGGTCGTCACTCCATCTCGTGGGGGGCGCCCTACACTTCGCCTACCGGTACGAGGCTGCCACTCGAGAACCTTTCTTCCCCATCGGTTGTCGGTTCTTCGAGCTATATGGCCGGCCCACTGCCACTTCAGCTTACTAATTCGTTGGGCTATGTCGGTCACTCTGGTTCTACTGCGGATATCCTCATTCCTAAGTTTATCACGCAGAGAAACTCCGAGCATAGCCCTCTCCATAGCTCGCTGAGCGACCTTGAGCTTCCTCATACGGCCAGCAGTGAAGGACCACGTCTCAGTTCCGTAAGTCATCACTGGCAACACGCACTGGTTGTACAATTTCGGTTGTACAAATTCTACTATATATTACTAATAATTGAACCTGCCACAAAATCTCATCACTCCACGGGTTGACTGGAAGCTAATGCCGATAGGAATTAAGTCCGCCCTCTGTTACCCTATTTAACTATTTATTATGGTGTTAACAATAAGGATTAAATAAATAAATAAAACTGTAATAACTACCAACAACTACCAAGTCTTCGCCAGAGATCTGTCTGCCGGAAAGAGTCACCTGTTTAAGTTGAAGACCGACTATGGCAGCGTCATTTCCGGTAAACAATTTAGTGAGATGGAGAGGTTCTACGGTAACTTGTACTTTCGTTGTATCTACGTTGGAGCCACACGTAAATGTGCCAACGGCACAAGAACAAGACTAACATGTCTCTGATATCTCGGACGTAAGTCTTAGCGAGATTAGAATGGCACTTAAGCATCTTAAAAACGGCAAGACGCCAGGAGAGCATGGAATTACAACAAAGTTCTTGAAAGTGGATGGTAAACTGGTACTTAGTCTTTCAAAAGTTGTTCAATTCTGTCAACAAAAGGCATGGAGCAGAATTGCGGTAGTCTTGTTATTTAAGAAAGCCGACAACGACCTATTGAAGAAATGCAAACCGTACGTATTGTTTTTAAGAGTCGTTACGAATTGTCTTGCATGCAGACATGAAGACTTACAGTATCCCGAACAAGTCGGTTCCCAAAAAAACTTCAGTACCATAGATCACATTCTCATCCTGCGGAAAATTGTAGAAAATATGTAAGAGTAGGTACAATATGCAAATTTTACATCGCTTATGAGAACTATGAGAATGCTTGTCATTCCCTCGAAATTTGGGCGGCGTGACAGTCGACTTATGGTCGTAGTATATCAAACTGTTGAAGTATTTATAAAGTAGGGTTACGATAACTATCCGAGTACAGAACAACCCGTCCAACTGCAGTGGTGTTTGACAGTACGTGGTAGAGCCATTCTGCAGCTATATTAATTGTATAGTTGTAGCACGAATGGGTCGGCTTGACCGGAGAAGCACCACGTTCTCACAGAATACCAGCGTAAAATAGCAGCTTAATGCTGCTGTGTTTCGTATGGTGAGTGTAGAGAACCGGAGACACCTTTTACCGGAAACGAGGCATTCAATCTTAGTCCTCACGGCTGATAACGCATCTGCATTTTATTGTAAACGAGGATAGATGTAGATGTCTATGGGCCACAGCAACCTCTTACTATCAGGTGGACTGTGTGCTCGTTTGTCACCCGTATGCTATAAAAAAAAACTCACCATACAAAACACAGCAGCATTAACCTGCTATTTTACGCTGGTATTCTGTGAGAGCGTGGTCTTTCCCCGGTTGAATTGACGAAACACTTTTTATCTAATTGTTATTAATTTTGTATATTATTATGTTATGAAAATAAAATAATATAAAATAATTACCTCTTGGCCAGCATTCTGATCGCGTTGTAACTACGACTATACTGCGACAATAAACTGAGTCGGGCTATAACGAAGGTTTTATTATATTTTCATTACTTGTCATAAAGACTGGTGTTTAGTACTTGATAAATATTTAATGATTACAGTTTTAGATAAATATTCATTGAGCCGTGGTAGTTCAGTTGGTAAGCGTTCGCCGAATTAACCGAGTAAACAGAGTTCGATTCTCGTCGAAAGCACTGAAGTTATTAATGAAATGGTATTTACTACGTGCTCGGCGGTGATAGAAAACATTAAAGAAACATGAATATCTGAGAATTTAAAAAATGTTTGATAACATTATTTGATGTTTATCGGTATGAGTAAAACGTAGGGCGAGGCGAAGATAATAAAATAAAAAATTGTGTACCCACTTCAACAGTTCGGTTTGATAAGTCAAGACTTACAGAAATGAGTAGTAGTCGGTCATTAAAATCAAAAAAAGAATATATTAATCTCAGGAGAAAAAGAAGTGAAAAGGTGCCAAATTAAGTCGCTAATCGTAAACAAATTATAAATTAATAACTGGCTGGTACCAGGCGCGTTCCTACCGCAGAAGAATAATTGCGAAAAACATTTTAAATTTGGAAGAGTTATATTGTCAGCAGCGTCAAAAGTCTGATACAGCTATCGTCAATTCCCTTGACAAGAGTCAAATCCTCTGTACTCCGGGAGAAGCCCATGTCCAGCTGTGACTTTTACGGGATTATCCTTTATTAAGGAAGCTTTCACTGTTCGGTTTTCAGACACAATCGTAGGACAATAGCAATAACCTATATGTAGTACACGGCACACGACATTCTTACACACTATCACACCAGCCTGTTACAAGACTATTGCTATCCTTTTTATGGACTTTATGGTATTTTTTATGTGGTCGACTCAACCCGGATGGGACCACGCTCTCACAGAATACCAGCATAAAATAGCAGCTTAATGCTGCTGTGTTTCGTATGGTGAGTGTAGAGAACCGAAGACCCTTTTTACTGGAAACGAGGCACTCCATCTTAGTCCTCACGGCTGACAACGCAACGGCATTTTGATTCTTAATCAAGGATACATGTAGATGTCTATGGGTCACAGCATCCAATTATCATCAGGTGGACTGTGTGCTCGTTTGTCACCTTTATTCTATAAAAAAAACTTAATCCCGCAAAGAAATACCGGGCATCCTTTCTATCGCACGTTGAGTAACTTTGAACTTCTTCATTCAGCCATTTCATGGCAACACGCACTGGTTGTACACTTGTCTTTAGATTCAGAGTAATATCTGACAAGAAGTTTTGTTGCAGTTTCCCGATCGCAGCCGACCCGAGTTGGAATCGTCGGTAAACCTTTTGATCGAAGTTGGACTTACCAAATCGTACATTTTCTATCAGGTACATGCAAAATATTTGTTTTTATTATTTCATAATGAAGTCACAGCCTAATGATTAAAACGTTTATCGCCTTACTCAGTTTATATTCAAATAAATTAAAACAAATCGTGACTGTTTTCTTTTTATTACAGTTAAAAAGAAAAACTTAGGGTGTGTCTTGAGTGGCCGTTTTGTTAGACCGCATTCCGGGGTGAGAGAGATACTTGTACTGTTGCTGCAATGTAGTCAATTTATTATGGCTGAAAGGTATAAGTAAGCCACGAATGGGTGTGAGACCTTCAAGAAAAGAGCGTACGCTTTTTTAAAAGACCAGCAATTCATCTGCAATTCTCTTGGTGTTGCAGTTGTCCATTGGTCGGCGGTAGTCACTTACAATAAGAAGAGCCGCATACTCGTTTGTTCCCTCTTATTTAAAAAAAAACCAATAGATTGTCTGGACGAAGGAAGTGCCACGCTCACGCATAATGAAATAGCAGAGGGAGTACTGCCAACTAGATATAAATTTAAATGACGATAGGAAGACGAGTGAACATTTAACGCGTAGGTATAAAAATATGTTCTAGTAGAAACCTGTAAATTATAATGTATAGTACTCAGCCAATGTTAAGACCTAGGGTATAGGAGAATGAGGACCAGACAATTCAGAAGCTACTATGTAGATTTTTTTATTTTAGTTTAAGTTGGTTTATAATTTTCTTAAAAGGATAATTTTGATAGCACCGCTTCAGATTTGATAGACTTTATTTTTTTATAGGATATGGTGACAAACGAGCACACAGTCCACCTGATGGTAAGTGGTTGCTGTGGCCCATAAACATCTTCATTTATCCTCGTTTGCGAATCAAAATGCAGATGCGTTGTCACCCGTGAGGACTAAGATGGAATGCCTCTTTTCCAGTAAAAAGGGTCTCCGGTTCTCTACACTCACTATACGAAACAGCAGTGTTAAGCTGCTATTTTACGCTGGTATTCTGTGAGAGCGTGGTCCTTCCCCGGTCGAGCTGACACATTCGTGCTACAACTATACTACTAATATAGCTGCAGCATGGCTCTACCACGCAAATAAACTGCTGATTTTCTTACATAATACATCAATGTGTACATTCCAGTTAAATTTATTGTCAATAATTTGGTTAAGGTAACTCGCACTACTGGCTACCTTTATAGTGTAATAATCGTAAGTCAAATTTAAATTTAATGGGTTTTGCAAAATTTTTGTTGTTTTCGTTAAATTGATTTTTTAAATTAATATTGTATAGCTATGAAATTCTGGATGTCAATGAGTTATTAATGTCAGATTCAGTCAGATTTAGTGATTAACGTCTTTACATGCAATGTCTGAGATTGAAGTAGTGCTGTTATCGGCAAATGATGTCATAGGTCCTATCGTTCCATATGGCATGTTATTCGTATGTATAATAAAGAACAGTGGCCCAAGTACACTTCCTTGGAGAACACCATTGGGTACATAGCACTTCATGGACGTGTAATTTCTTTATATTTTGCTTTAGGATTCACAATCGGTTATACTTATTGTTTTATTTTGTCGAAAGCCTTTTTCACAATTTGTTTGTTAGTTTTAGGGATAGGAATTAATTTAAATATAGGCATATTTTCAATTATTTATAAAAATACTGGCTGGTTCCCGGCGCGTTCTGCCACAGAAAAAAATATTGTCGAAATATATTTTTAAATATGGAAGAATTATTGTTTACTTAGGAATGGTGGAAGTTGAGTGATGTATAATTTTCAAATAAATTTGTTCCGATAAGTGCGCCACCTATTGTAAGTTAATTGCAATAAGCCTATAGCTTTCTCATAAGTGCAAGCATTAAATTGATAAAGTTTTAGTGTAATCTGATTTTTATATATTATATTGATAAATAATTTGGCGCTTGTAATTCCCCATCAACTGTTTACTCTTTTTTAACGTAACGATTAGTAAGCAAAAGTGTTAATCAGGTAAATTATGTGCTCGTTTGTCACCCTATCCTATAAAAAAATCACCCGTGCGAAGCCGGGATGGATCGCTAGTAGTTTATAAAACTCAAATAAGGCCAAAAGTAATGAAGCTTATAATCAAATTAATAACTGAATCGATCTTATTTTTCAAAACATTGAGGACTTATAATCTCACCAGACGGCGCTAGTTGGGATTGAGGTGAAATTTTTTTATTACACAATGTCATTCAATTGAGAAATTTTAATAAAAAGTTGATCAGTTTCTAGAGCATTATATTAATGCACAAAACAATGCCTCAGTGGTTTGTTATTTAATTTTTTTATATATTTTAATTTTTTTTAAACTGTTCTAATTTTAGGAATATTTATAGTTTGTTTTATCCATTTCTTATGTAATAAATATAAAATATAACTAATATTTCAGAAAGAAACATTAATCTCTACACTCTTCTAACAAATTAGCTTCCCCTGCTATGAAATCTGTCAAATATTTCACCTCATGCCATCTTCATTGGATCGTATCAAATATATAATTTAAGAAAAAAAAAACATATCAAAATTCCAAATATTTATTGCAAGCCAGTATTATTAGAAAATATACAGGAAAGTTATAGAAAGGAAAATGCGTTACATGTATACTGTTCACTTAATATAGTTTTAAAAATATCTTTAAATATTTTGAACGTGTCTGAATATTCGCCAGAAACTGTATTGACGAAGAAGTCGACTGCTACGCTGTCTGAGCAATTCGCAGTTGCGAAAAATGTCAAATCTAGCAAAAAATTTTGCAAGCCACAACTTGATGACAATTCTGATAGTCTGGTGTACAGATCGATGTTCTTGGAGTATTCTGGACAGCGCTCTATCCTCTTTTTCGTCAGTTTAGACAAAGCTTTTATACATTCAGGCTCCCGTACAGTATCGGGGCAGACGGTTTGCACGTCGGTTATGGGCTGCAAATGAAATCATTATGAAATAACATTGTATATATGAGAGTATTTGTAGCTCGGGGACGTCTTGTCCTGCGAGAAACCCGAGAGAGTATACTTTAGCAAAAATTCCCTACAATAAAATAACGTTCACCAAGTAGCATTGCATGCACTGCGGCTTGGTATTCTGCGTGGTAAAGCCACGCTGCAGCTGTATTATGGCTGTAGGGTCATGGGTCGGCTCAACCAGGGTAGGACCACACTCTTACAGAATACCATCGTAAAATAACAGCATGCTGCTGTATTTCGTATTCCTGTTTACTGGATACGAGGCATTCCACTTTAATCCTCAGGGGTTGTCACCCCTGAGGATTAAAGTGGAATACACGCATCTGTAAATTGTTTCTTAAGCAAAGATAGATTTAGATATCTATGGGTCACAACATCCACTTACCATCAGGTGGACTGTGTGCTCGTTTGTCATCCCTAATAATCACTCTCACAGTCCTATGAGATGGTAATCCGATACAACCGGAAATACATTCGGCGCAGGACTTCACGTACTTTCCGAGGCACGGGGGCAAAACACCGTCAACTTTCTGACTTTGCACTGCTACTGAGAATCTCTTGGCCACGCTGCCCCAATGCGTGTTAAGCCGCGTATCTATTATGCGCCACAACAGGTCGAACATAGGTGCGCGTTCCAGCCGCGTGTAAAGGTACGGACAGACGTGCTCATCTCCAGCACGAAAGCATGATTTCATTGAGCAAGTGCTCATTAGTGTCACGTTTGTCGCAACGTTGCTAGTAATGAGTATGCTTATTTTGGGCGTGCTGAAAAATCAACCGACGTCTGATTTTCGAGCATACTACATGAGGCGCGGGTAGAAGGGGGCGTGCTCCGAGCGCGTTGGTTTGCTTATGAGCATGCTATTATTGGCAACGGAACCCAAGGGGCCAGCAGTTGGCTGACTTCATGGAGAAAGAGGGACTCTTTATGATGAACTCTTTCTTCCAGAAGCGGCCCCACAGGAAGTGGACCTGGTCGAGCGCCGACGGTTCGACAAAAAATGAGATTGACTTCATTATGACGACCAGACGACAACTGTTCAGTGATGTCTCAGTGATCGCGAGGGTGAAAACCGGCAGCGATCACCGAATGGTTAGAGGCACACTGAACCTAAACGTTAAGTTGGAGAGGTCTCGTCTAATGAAGTCAACGCTCCGTCCCCCTCGTGCTCTAATCCAAAGTCCCGAAACCTTTCAGCTCGAGTTACAAAACCGTTTTCAGTGCCTAGAAGACTGCAATGAAGTGGACGATTTGAATGACAAGCTCGTGGAAACTGTCCATGCGGTCGGAGCTAAGTTCTGCAAGACCCGCCGCAGAAGAACACAAAAACTCTCCGATCACACTCTTAATCTCATGGCTGTTAGACGGGAGATGAAGCTACATTCTTCAACAGATTTAACAGCATACAGGCAACTGAACAGACGGATCTCCAAATGCATGCGGCGGGACTTACGCAACTTCAATACAGCTCGTATTGAAGAAGCGATCGAGCGGAACCAAGGCTCCAAAGTCTTTGCCAGAGATCTGTCTGCCAGAAAGCGCCAACTGTCAAAGCTGAAGACAGAATGTGGCAGCATCGTTTCCGGGGCACCTGAGATTTTGAGTGAGATTGAGAGGTTCTATGGGCAGCTGTACACGTCATCGTTGGAGCCGCACGCAAGTGTGAGTAACGATCCAAGAGCGAGTCTTATCCGACATTATTCCGATGATATCCCGGACGTCAGTCTGAGCGAGATTAGAATGGCTCTCCAGCACCTTAAAAACGGCAAGGCCCCAGGCGAGGATGGAATTACAGCGGAGCTTCTGAAAGCGGGTGGAAAACCGGTACTTGAAGTCCTTCAGAAGCTCTTTAATTCCGTCCTCCATGGTGGCATTACACCGGAGGCGTGGAGCAGAAGTGCGGTGGTCTTGTTCTTCAAGAAAGGCGACAACGCTTTCTTGAAGAACTACAGACCGATTTCCCTTCTGAGCCGCGTCTACGTGCTGTTTTCGAGAGTCATTACGAATCGTCTCGCGCGCAGACTTGACGACTTCCAGCCTCCCGAACAAGCCGGTTTCCGAAAAGGCTTTAGCACCATAGACCACATACATACCCTTCGGCAAATTGTACAGAAGTCCGAGGAGTACAATTTGCCACTATGTCTGGCGTATGTGGACTATGAGAAAGCCTTTGATTCCGTCGAAATTTGGGCGGTGCTGCTGTCCCTTCAGCGATGCCAAGTTGACTGTCGGTATATCGAAGTGTTGAAGTGCTTGTACAGTAGGGCTACGATGGCTATCCGAGTACAGAACCAGAGTACGAAACCTATCCAATTGCAGAGAGGTGTAAGACAGGGTGACGTCATATCCCCGAAACTCTTTACCGCTGCATTGGAAGATGTTTTCAAGCTTCTGGACTGGAAAGGATACGGTATCAACATCAATGGCGAGTACATCACTCACCTTCGATTTGCCGACGATATAGTCCTTATGGCAGAATCGCTGGAGGACCTAAGCACTATGCTCAATGACCTCAATAGTGTTTCCCAACGGATAGGTCTTAAGATGAACATGGACAAAACAAAGATCATGTTTAATGTTCATGTCACACCTATGCCGGTAGTTGTTGGGAACACTAAACTCGAAGTTGTTGACGAGTATGTTTACCTGGGACAAATAGTCCGACTAGGTAAGTCCAACTTCGACCGAGAGGTCAATCGACGGATTCAACTCGGTTGGGCAGCGTTCGGGAAATTACGGCACATCTTCTCGTCAGGTATACCTCAAAACTTGAAAACGAGACTGTACACCCAGTGCGTGTTGCCAGTGATGACATACGGAACTGAGACGTGGTCCTTCACTGCTGGCCGGATGAGGAAGCTCAAGGTCGCTCAGCGAGCTATGGAGAGGGCTATGCTCGGAGTTTCTCTGCGTGATAAACTCAGAAATGAGGATATCCGCAGTAGAACTAGAGTGACCGACATAGCCCAACGGATTAGTAAGCTGAAGTGGCAATGGGCCGGCCATATAGCTCGAAGAACCGACAACCGATGGGGAAGAAAGGTTCTCGAGTGGCAGCCTCGTACCGGCAGGCGAAGTGTAGGGCGTCCCCCCACTAGATGGAGTGACGACCTGGTAAGATATGCAGGAAGTCGATGGATGCAGGTGGCTCAGGACCGTGCTTTGTGGCATTCTTTGGGGGAGGCCTATGTTCAGCAGTGGACTTGTGAAGGGCTGTAATGATGATGATGATGATGATGCTATTATTGAATCGATCTGGATCTGCGACATTTGCTGCGTCAATTTAAAATAAATTTTAAAAGGCCGAGAGCCTGGTAGCACCTAATAGCACGTCTGTCCAAACTTTGCTTTGAGTATGTTTATTTATGAGTATGTTTTAAGCGTGCTTATTGCTGACAAAAATATATTTATATTTTATATATTTAATATATCTATATTTATGAAAATCGTTTTGCAATACAGAGTTTATTTCTTTTTTTTATCTTCGTACACTTTCAGCCAGTTTTTCAGGTTCGTACCATCGCTAGTTCTATTTATAAATGTACATTTATTATGCAAGTTTATGTTTGCAGAACTGAACGGCAGATTCGGTATGAGACACCCAAGAAGGAAATCGACAAAATTAGGGACATATTGAAGACTAGCTGTTCCCCGTGATTTCGCCTGCGTGTAATTTAGAACCCTAATTCTTTTTCTAAAATATAGGTAGCCTAAGTTGCTTCTTATAACATCCGCTATCTGCCAGTGAAAGTCCCATCGAAATCGGTTCAGCCGTTTTGGAGATTAGCCGGAACAGACAGACAGACAGACAAAAATTTTAAAAATTGTGTTTTTGTTATAAGTATCGTATATACTTTCATATGCATTTAGTAAAGAGCTGTTATTTTGATATTACAAACAGACACTTCAATTTTATTTATTTGTATTAACAAATTAAGGAAAAGCATGTTTGCGTACATATACGGATGTAAATGAGGCGAGCGATGATCGTGCCGAATGGTAGTTCGTAGTCTCTGCCTACCCCTCTGGGTGACAGGCGTGAGTGTTTATGTTATATACGCCTTTATTTATTAAACCTAGTGAATGCAAACCTGTTCAACAATGTTGAAGTAAGTCGAAATCAATGATCGAAACTTTCCGCCAATAACATCGGCCGGCTGGTCCAAATACTTTCGGATCTTCTGTGCGGCTTCTTCTACGCTTTCCTGCACGTCTTGTTTGTCACTGGTCAGAAATAGCAGGAGCGCTTGTGAGAAAATGGAAGCGAAACGCTTCTGAGTATCACCGACATCATCAGGTCCAAGAGCTCTATGAAAGAAATCAGCCTTTTGAAATTTTTTAGGGTCAAATGAAATGAATGTGAAACCGTTACCACGGACGGTACAGCTTACTAAAAGTCCACTGCCCATCGACAACTTCATAGGGGAGATATTTGCCATAGTTGCCAAGCGGGCTGCCAAGCTTCTCTTTTTGCAGTTTTTATTTTTTAGTTGAACACACTGCTGCCCGTCTGTTTGTCTGTTTGTCTGTTTCCCTCTGTCGCCTCTTACGACACACACGGGATGATATGGAAATTAAAATTTATTTTGTCATCAGTCAACGTGTTTTAACTAATGTTTCAAAATGATGTTGCTCCGACCGGACAGGATACGGCGAAAGAAACTCCGCGCTGCAATACTGAATACTACATACTTAATACATACAATAGTATCAATTATTTAATTGTACTTGTTTTCGAAACTGGCTTTGCGAACTGGGCTACTAAACGATCGCTGTGAATATCAAAGTACGCGAGCAACCCGGGTTCGATACCCGCTGGCACCAATTAAATTGTTAATTGCAGTTTTTTATAATATTGATTTACCACGTGCTTGGTGGTAAAACCTACATCGTGGGGAAAACCTGCACGTCTGCAAAAAACATAAATAAAAAATATCATCCGAAGACATGTTCTCATACATATTATGCATGGTTAAGTGAAGAAAATAATATTTAGGAAATACAAAAGGATAACAGTAGGCCAAACAGTAGTACCTTACCAATCGGCACAAGAACCAGGTGAACAGGCAACCGCACTTCACCAGCACTTAGAACTACCGCGCGAGATCATAGGTGTATAGTTTGTTCGCGAAGAAAGTGTCGGTACATCCGGAGGCGCACTTATTGGAACGATGTTCCTTATCGAACGGTACGGGTTTGGCGGATGGGAGCTAGGCGACAAAAAGTGTAAGATTTTTTCGTCACTACCCCTTGTGTCATAGTGTAGACCGCCTTGGCGGCGAAATAAGGAAGTGAGATGGAATAATATTAATCTCCCTCGCACTTTTTCCTATCTTGACATGAAAGAAATATTACTTTATTTCAAATGACGCTTCATTTTAATAGACGCTAGTAATTTATTTATTTGTATTTGATAATGAATAATATAATACCTACGTTAATCAATAATAATATACTACGCAAGGAACTTCATTCCAACCGAGTGTTCCACGACACTCACGCATATTTATTTTGCTTTTATTTTATAATTTTTTACTGTGTTTGTTAAATAAATGTTTTTTTATTCTAAGAATAAAATAAAATACTATTTTATTAATATGGTTATTGTAATAAAATAGGAATATAAATAATAAAAACAAGTTAGGTAGCAACGAACATTTCACTACAGCGCTTCGTTTTAAAATGTCAAATTCTCCTTCGGGTGTACGCTGCACGCGGCAACCTTTGATGTGCGGCTTTGTTGTCGGCGCCTTTGACAAAAGGCGGCACGTACCAAGGCGGCGCGATACAAACGTGACCGTGTCTAAGCGAACAGACTATATTCACAGATATAACGTTTCGTACGTACGGCTACAGTGCATAGTAAGTATATCCTTCGTTCAGATGTCATTATAGGTGCGGAATAGGATTTAAAAAGGACAGGCTAGGTTAGGGACGAAGTGTGCAAGCGCACGTGTGCAAAATATTGCAAAGGGCTAGATTTTTACGATACACTACTGTTCTAATAATTAATCAACAAATACATACAGGCTCTGATAATAGTCGTGAGCGATTTGCTCCAATACGTCGGCCGTCCGCCATTTTGTATTCAGATCGCTAGACACAGTTTGACACCCGCCATGACAATACTTTACAATACAACCAGTTATTAATAAACCAAAGAACCTGTAAAAGATATTTAATGATTTTTCTTTCACCCTGTAGAAAATTGTAGAAAATATCAAACAATCTGCCAATTTCATATGACGTATGAGAACTATGAGAAAGCCTTTCGTTCCCTCGAAATTTTGGCGGCGTGACAGTTGACTTATAGAGATGTGGGAACTACATTTAAGCGAGGTTAAATGGACTGTAGATATATCAAACTGCTGAAGTAATTGTAAAGTAAGGTAACGATTTGTATCCGAGCACAGAACCAGAGTACGAAACCCATCCAACTGCAGTGAGGTGTAAGACAGTGTGCGTAATATCCCAGAACCTCTTCACCGCTGTATTGGAAGACGTTTTGAAGCAACTGGCGTGGAAAGGATATGATATCAACATCAATGGCGAGTACATCATTCATCATCAATTTGCCGGTCTCCGGTTCTTTACACTCATTTTATACGTAGTAGAGCCAAGCTGCATTTATATTAATTGTATAGTTGTAGCACGAATGGGTCGGCTCGACCGGAGAAGCACCAAGCTCTCAAAAAATATCATCTGCATTTTATAGCAAACGAAGATAGATGTAGATGTCTATGGGCCACAGCAACCACTTACTATCAGGTGGACTGTGTGCTCGCTTGTCACCATACAAAACACAGCAGCATTAAGCTGATATTTTACGCTGGTATTCTGTGAGAGCGCGGTTCTTCCCCGGTTGAGTCGACCAAACCCTTTTCATCTTATTATAATAAGTTTTGTATATTTTTATGTTATGACAATAACATAATATAAAATATTTACCTCTTGGCCAGCATTCTGATCGCGTTGTAACTACGACTATACTGCGACAATAAACAGAGTCGGGCTATAACGAAGGTTTTATTATATTTTCATTACTTGTCATAAAGACTGGTGTTTAGTACTTGATAAATATTTAATGAATACAGTTTTAGATAAATATTCATTGAGCCGTGGTAGTTCAGTTTGTAAGCGTTTGTCGAATTAATCGAGTAAACAGAGTTCGATTTTCATCGAAAGCACTGAATTTGTTAATGAAATTATATTTACTACGTGCTCGGCGGTGATAGAAAACATCAAAGAAACATGAAAATCTGAGAATTTAAAAATGTTTGATAACATTATTTGATGTTTATCGGTATGGGTAAAACATAGGGCGAGGCGAAGATAAGTCAAGACCTACAGAAATGAGTAGTAGTAGTTGGTCATTAAAATCAAAAAAATATATATTAATCTAATGAGAAAAAGAAGTAAAACGTTAATTAATAGAATCAGGCGTTACTTTGCGGAAGTCCATTATATTAAAGTTGACAATTGAAGAGCACCTGGGTGCTCTTCAAACTAGGTAAGACACATCATTTTATTTTATCGAGCGGATGTACGCAAAGTAATTTTTTGTCAACTTTAAGTAAAACGTTGCCAAATTAAGTCGCTAATCGTAGACAAATTATTAATAACTAGCTGGTACTAGGCGCGTTGCTACCGCAGAAGAAATAATTGTGAATATATCATTTTGAATTCGGAAGAGTTATATTGTCAGCAGGGTAAAGAATTCAATCGACAAATGTTTAAGTATTACAGGGAGCAGGTAAGAAAACTGATTTACAGGGAGTGTAGGCAATATTTAAAATCGGTACAACGGAATATTATTATATTAACCACCCAGTAAAGTTTTGGGAATACATAAAAGACAAAAAATCAGGTGGCAGAAGACGTGCGTACACTTATATTTATAAGTATACCGAGGTGGAGGTGCAGGCTGCTGCTGATGCCTTTGCAGAATTTTTCAGCCCTGTGTTTCATCCGGACATACCCTTTTTGGATAAGGCTGCTCAAGCTGCACATATTAACCAGGACATTACATCCGTATCTATAAACACGGTCAATGAGAGGGATTTGAAGGAGGATGTGAAATGTCTCAAACCGCGCTCATCTAGTGGACCTGATGGCATTCCTGGTTTCTTGGCTAAAGATTCTATAGCGGTACTGGAGAGGACTCTTTTGCATCTCTTTAACCTGTCGCTATCTAATGCTAGGTACCTTCAAATTTGGAAACGTTCCAGGGTTACCCCCGTACCGAAAGGGTATGGGAGTATGGACGTGTCAGCATTTAGACCAATTGCTGTTTTATCAGTATTTGCCAAGATATTTGAGTCCATTCTCACCAAACCCATTAATAATCAGGTAGGCCATTTGTTACACAATAGCCAGCATGGTTTCCGTAAGGCGCGTTCTACTACTACGAACTTAATTGCGTATGTAGACTACATATATAAGGAGATTGATAATTACAAACAACGACAGCGAAACGGCATACTTCGATTTCAGAAAGGCCTTTGACCTTGTCGACAACGACAAATTGTTAGAAAAGTTGGCATTTATTGGCTTTATACCCAAACACATTCAATGTTTCGCATCCTATCTGAATAGTAGATATCAGTATGTGGGGGTGGATGGATAAAACTCCAGTAATTACTTCACAAGTTCAGGGGTAAGTCAGGGCAGTACGTTGGGTCCAACCCTCTTCCTGCTCTTTATAAATGATCTGCCGAACACCGTTTGTTTTTCTGAATGCCTCCTCTTTGCAGATGACTTAAAACTCAGTCTGGGTATTGAATCTGAATCAGATACCATAAATCTACAAATATAATAATGCCGTGTAGTGGCGGTTAAGAATATCCACTACCCCATATCTTCCCGTTGGTGTCGTAAAAGGCGACAAAGGGAAACAGACAGAAAATGGGCAGCAGCATCTTCCTGATAACTGCAAATATACAATAAAAAAACTGCGGTTGCCAACCCACTCACCAAGCGTGGCAACTATGGCCAAATGGATAAAGTTACTAAGAGACGGCCCCCAGTCCCCGGCGGCCCCGCTATTCGTGGCTACGGTGGCGAACATGGTAACGGCGGGGCAGGGGGTGCTAAGAATCTCCGGTGGAGGTTCGGTTGCCACCTTAGACGACTCGACCTGGCAACATACAACGCACGCACCCTGAGGACTGACGAGAAGATTGTGGAGCTAGAAGAAGAGATAGACAAGTTACGCTGGCATGTTATAGGATTATCCTAAGTCCGAAGAGAGGGGGAGGAAACGGTAATCCTCGAATCCGGCAACTTGCTCTATTACCGGGAGGGCGACCATCTGTCCCAAGGAGGTGTCGTTTTTATCGTCCACAAGTCTCTCGTTAACAACGTTGTAAAGATTGAGAGTACCTTATACTCAGAATCACCAAACGGTATTTGTTGGAGGTCATACAGGTTTAAGCACCAACCTCGGCACACCCCGATGAGGAGGTGGAGGAAATGTATGAGGATAACTCTAGAGCCATGCATTCCTCCAAAACCCAATATACGGTGTTAATGGGAGACTTCAATGCAAAACTAGGCACAAGAGAGAATGGAGAGCTGAAAGTAGGGAAATTTGGAATAGGGCATCGGGACCCAAGGGGCCAACAGCTGGCCGACTTCATGGAGAAAAAGGGACTCTTTATGATGAACTCTTTCTTCCAGAAGCGGCCCCACAGGAAGTGGACCTCGTCGGGCCCCGACGAATCGACAAAAAATGAGATTGACTTCATTATAACGACCAGACGACAACTTTTCAGTGATGTCTCAGTGATCGCGAGGGTGAAAACCGGCAGCGATCACCGAATGGTTAGAGGCACACTGAACCTAAACGTTAAGTTAGAGATGTCTCGTCTAATGAAGTCAACGCTCCGTCCCCCTCGTGCTCTAATCCAAAGTACCGAAACCTTTCAGCTAGAGTTACAAAACCGTTTTCAGTGCCTAGATGACTGCAATGAAGTGGACGATATGAATGACAAGCTCGTGGAAACTGTCTATGCGGTCGGAGCTAAGTTCTGTAAGACCCGCCGCAGAAGAACACAAAAACTCTCCGATCACACTCTTAATCTCATGGCTGTTAGACGGGAGATGAAGCTACATTCTTCTACAGATTTGACAGCATACAGGTAACTGAACAGACAGATCTCCAAATGCATGCGGCGGGACTTACGCAACTTCAATACAGCTCGTATTGAAGAAGCGATCGAGCGGAACCAAGGCTCCAAAGTCTTTGCTAGAGATCTGTCTGCCAGAAAGAGCCAACTGTCAAAGCTGAAGACCGAATTTGGCAGCATCGTTTCCGGGGCATCTGAGATTTTGAGTGAGATTAAGAGGTTCTATGGGCAGCTGTACACGTCATCGTTGGAGCCACACGCGAGTGTGAGTAACGATCCAAGAGCGAGTCTTATCCGACATTATTCCGATGATATCCCAGACGTCAGTCTGAGCGAGATTAAAATGGCTCTCCAGCACCTTAAAAACGGCAAGGCCCCAGGCGAGGATGGAATTACAGCGGAGCTTCGAAAAGCGGGTGGAAACCCGGTACTTGAAGTCCTTCAGAAGCTCTTTAATTCCGTCCTCCATGGTGGCATTACACCGGAGGCGTGGAGCAGAAGTGCGGTGGTCTTGTTCTTCAAGAAAGGCGACAACGCTCTCTTGAAGAACTACAGACCGATTTGCCGTGTCTACGTGCTGTTTTCGAGAGTCATTACGAATCGTCTCGCGCGCAGACTTGACGACTTCCAACCTCCCGAACAAGCCGGTTTTCGAAAAGCTTTAGCACCATAGACCACATACATACCCTTCGGTAAATTGTACAAAAGTCAGAGGAGTACAATTTGCCACTGTATCTGGCGTATGTGGACTATGAGAAAGCCTTTGATTCCGTCGAAATTCGGGCGGTTCTGCAGTCCCTTCAGCGGTGCCAAGTGGACTGTCGGTATATCGAAATGCTGAAGTGCTTGTACAGTAGGGCTACGATGGCTATCCGAGTACAGAACCAGAGTACGAAACCTATCCAATTGCAGAGAGGTGTAAGACAGGGTTACGTCATATCCCCGAAACTCTTCACCGCTGCATTGGAAGACGTTTTCAAGCTTCTGGACTGGAAAGGATACGGTATCAATATCAATGGCGAGTACATCACTCACCTTCAATTTGCCGACGATATAGTCCTTATGGCAGAATCGCTGGAGGACCTAAGCACTATGCTCATTGACCTCAATAGTGCTACCTAACGGATAGGTCTTAAGATGAACATGGACAAAACAAAGATCATGTTTAATGTCCATGTCACACCTATGCCGGTATTGTTGGGAGCACTAAGCTCGAAGTTGATGACGAGTATGTTTATCTGGGACAAATAGTCCGACTAGGAAAGTCAGTGCGTGTTGCCAGTGATGACATACGGAACTGAGACGTGGTCCTTCACTGCTGTCCGGATGAGGAAGCTCAAGGTAGCTCAGCGAGCTATGGAGAGGGCTATGCTCGGAGTTTCTCTGCGTGATTAACTCAGAAATGAGGATATCCGCAGTAGAACCAGAATGACCGACATAGCCCAACGGATTAGTAAGCTGAAGTGGCAATGGGCCAATTTCTTTAATTAGAGGCAATTATTTTAATTATTAATGTTGGATATATTTTTTTTGCGCGACAGAATAGACGTCCTACAAAACTTCCTACAAATAATAATTAAATGAATTAGCTCTTTCTGTAGGTACGTTCTTAGCAAATTTTATTAGTAAATTTTATGTCGTCAATAGTTTCATTTAGTAGGTTGAGTCTGGTTTTATTAACTGCCTTGCATTTATTACTTAATAGTTTTATTTTATAGTTATTTTGTGCACGTTTTGTAAATGTTGTTTTTAATACTTTGCAATAATTTACATACCTACATTAATTTATTCTTTTCTATTAATTTTAATCTGAATATCCATAGAAATATATAGTTTAAACGTGGTAGAACCATGCTGCAACTACAACAATTGTACAGTTGTAGCACGAATGGGTCAGGTCAAGGACCACGCTATCACAGAATACGAGCGTAAAATAGCAGCTTAACACTGATGTGTTTCGTGAGTGTAGAGAACCGGAGATCCCTTTTACTGGAAAAAACACATTCCATCTTAGTCCTCACGGATGACAACGCATCTGCATTTTGATTCTTTATTGAGGATAGATGTAGATGTCTATGTGCCACAGCAACCACTTACCATCAGGTGGACTGTGTGCTCGTTTGTCACCATATACTATAAACAAAAACGCACCGGGTACTAACTAATCATCCATAAAATGGTATAATTTCAACAATTTCTTTCCTTGCTTTGTAACAAAAGTTGTAAATAAAATACGTTCAATTACAAAATAACTTATTCTTATTGAAGGAAAATGTACTTTATACGCATTTCACATTACATAAAAATAAAAATTCCATAAATCTATCATGACAGGTCAAAAGACAGTTCTTTGATTTACGGTTTACCGTACCATCGGGCTATGGGGTTGAGAGAATAGAGAGTGCACCTGTGCTTGCTTGGGCACTATAATCCTGTCCTGTGCACTGGCCAGCCACTGGGCTGGTCTCCGTTGAGTCTGGCCACCGGAGAACATTATTACTATTACCAATTACCAATACGTTTACAGTCTATCGAAAGCCTACTTCTGAACAACATTTGTTATACCTACTTGGCACGCTTTACCAGGCGTGTTAGCCTACAATTAAAAAAATAAGGCAGCTTATAAATTAGTCCTAAGGGTCGTCTCGACCGGGGAAGGACCACGCTCTCACAGAACACCAGCGTGAAATAGCAGCTTAAGGCGACACCGCGAAAAAATGCACCTCCTTTCATTGCATAGTATAGGAGTATGACACGACTAACGAAACTGGAATTTGGATATAGGTAAATTCATCTCTTTATCTTGCTCAAAAACACGATTGTAAAATTTTGACTCGATCATAATTGTTTGCGAAAACATCTCTAAAAAATCACTATAGTTGAAATTACAACGAAATTACTTAATCTATATGCTTGGGAACCACTCGAATACATTCATAACATCAATATTCGTAATTTACTTGCTCATTATTTTGATTACTAAAATCAATAATTTTTAAAAATATTTTAAGATTCTAAGCGATTTCTAAGCGGTCTTAATCATCGCGGGCGCTACGCAATTTTAGACCTTATGATGGCGTTTTTGAAGTTTTATAGAAATTATGTTTCACTCTGGTTAGTTCGGCAATAGCCCGCTTCAACGGTTTTCGATGTGTCGCCTTAACACTGCTGTGTTTGGTATTTTTTAATATTTACCTTTTTTAATAGTAACTATGCATTCGACTTTAGTTTTCAGGGATGGCAACGCATCTGCATAAAAAAACTGTGGTTGCCAAGCCGCCTGCAAGCGTGGCAACTATGGCAAAATTCTCCCTATGAGGCAATCTATGAGAGACGCCTAGGTTTAGCAGTGGACTTCGATAGGTTCTCATGAAATAATGAATGAATGAATGTAGTATAAGAACAGTTGCTGAAGGCTGATTATACTTATTATAAAGACGAATTGGCTTAAAAACAGTGAAGTGTTTTTTTTTTGCCGTCTTCCAAAAAGGAGACGGTACTCAATTCGACTGTATGTTTTTTTAATGTGTGTTACCTCATAATTTTTTACTGGGTGAACGGATTTCGGTGATTCTTTTTTTGTTTGAAAGCTGGTACTTTACGTGTGATCCCATATGAATTTAATCATGGTCAGACCAAAAGCTTTTGAGTTATTCTTAATAATTTATATTG